ATTCTGAGAAGCTCAAAGGTACTAAATATTATCATATTTACATTTTAATTAGTAGGGAATTTACTCCTAAGAGCCTATGGCACAAAATGTTCAGTTTACCCAAGCAAAGCATCCAACGAAGCTTAGGAAAAAAGTATATATTTTTAATGCATACTCAAAGTTAAATTAAATCAATCATAGAAAATCAAATACAAATTATTATAGAAGATTTTGATGCAACCAATAAAATTTAATAAGTATAGCTGAGTTGTCTAAATTGTACAAACCAATTAAATTTATGGAGTTGGCCTATGACTCTTGAAGTTTTGTCTTTTGATACCTTCATGGCTTCACTTGGAAGTTCTTTTTTTTTTTCATCATTTTGTTGTTGTTTCTCATAAGCTTACTCGACTTTCTTAAATTAGAAATGAATAATATTTGTGAGATAAAAAGAGTAGACTTAAAATAAGGATCAAGTTTGCCATGCCTACTCAGGGTTTTAGCATATAGGCAGCACCTGCAAGCAAAATTTGTTAGATGATAGCTTTTTTATTTATTTGCCCATTTGGGCATGATCAGCTGTATATAAAAGTATATATCTCTATATTAACACTTAAGAAAAAGTGCTCACAACACAAACTATTTATTAAATAATAATTTCTCATCAAACATTACAACAACATGCAAAAAAAATAAAATTAGACTTATGATGCCTAAAAGGTTATGTATTTAATATGAACTAGCTTATGTGTTCGCCATCTTATTATTTGGTGTATTATTTTATTGTGTAATAAAAATGTATTAATTTTAATATAAGGGTTATTTACTTATTTTAATTTAAGTTTTTTGTGATTTAAAGAGTTTCATATTTTTAAATAGTTATAGAGAACCCTTGGAATGACCACTATTGCTTTGAGGCACGACTGTCATTCATAGTGTCTTGAGATCCCGTGATTTAGATATTACACTTTTTGGAGTGAAATGACACATCATTGCAACAAAGAAACCTGTGTAATTTTTTTATTGATTTTAGCGACTCTCTTAATGTTTGGTTAAAAGAAAGTGAAGCTTGCTTAATTTGGGTCAAGCAAATATTGTTAATGGTTTCACATAAGACTTTATGAAATTCATGTAATGGAGCTTGGTAAATTTTAGAACAAATGCTCTAAGTAGAATTGAAGGTTTTGGTTTATTAAAATGAATGATACAATCACCTATTTTGGCAAAGTGATAAAATTTAAAGTTTGGTTTATATATGAAAATCACCTATTTGATCGGGTCAAATGAGTGATATTTGACTTTGAGGCTAATGAGGAAGGAAGACATTTGCTTAATTGGGTAAAGCAAGTGAGCCAATGGTTTTGGGGCCAAAGGAAAAAGTCCTATTTAATTTAGGTTAAATAGTATGGATTATCAGGATTGGATCCTATGATGCATGGACACAGACACGGCGACACGGACACTACATGACACGGACACGGGACACGGCTTTTTTTTAAAAATATAGGACACGGGTACGGCGCGGACATGGCAATACATTTTTTTATATAGTGTATATATATTAATGTAATATCATATTAAAAATGACAAACAATAATAAATGAATGAAAATATAAGAAATTATTTTTTAAAAAATTATAAAATATTTAAGATACGCGTGTCGTACACGCGTGTCCAATTAGTTTTTAATATTTTTATAATCGGACACGTTTTCGGCGTGTCCGACACGTGTCGGAGGAGTGTCGGACGAGTGTCGTGTCGGACACGGTGTCGGACACTGCACGCCTCTTTGAGGAGAAGTGTCGGTGCATCATACATTGGATCACATGGGAATGTATTCGTTCACTCAATTTCATGTCTAAGTAGATGATTATGGGTGGTTTTTAGATTCAAAGAAATTTGATTGATCCGTCATATTAAGGACAGAAGGATAAAGGTTTTATATGATTTTGTGCTACATAAGATGATGACCTATTTGCTTGAGTTGGGTTCAAGCAACTGCGATGAATTTGCATATTTTGATCTCTAACTTGGGAGTTGAAATCAATGAAGGAATTCCATATTTTGGGAAGTTTAGGGATGAAACTCATTTGCTTGATTTGGGTCAAACAAATGAAAGGTGTTAAGATTAGCGTGTTATGCAAATGATTGGAATCATTATTGACTTTGAGGTCAAATGAATGAAGAGATTTATATATTTGGTTGTTATTATTTAATAATTCTATCATATAATACATTAGAGGTTATTTGGGAATCTTAATATATGATTTAGAAAAAGCATTAAAGAGAAGAACCTAAATAGAAAGAAGCTTGGATTGACATTGGCTCAATCCCAACCAAGGCAAATGTAAAGCTTGACTGTGGCTGCTTGGTTTCTAGAAAGGTCCCTAACAAATGCTAAGGTCCTTTGAAACTCATTAAAAGATCTTAGAGGATCTTTATGTAGAGTGTAGAGCACTAAGCAAGATGAATCCATTTGACAAAATCAAATTTGGGTTTAACCTGAATGACTAAGGATAATTTAAAATTTGCTTAAAAGTAAGAGAAGGCTTCCAAATGAATTCAGCAAATTGGAAAACTATTTGATCAATTAGAGTTCTTCAAGCAAAAAAAAAACTAGGCTTTATGTCTTAGGGATAAGGGTATCAGTTGTTTGATTTTTGGGCAAGCAAAGTGATCCTACAAACTTAGGAATTGGTTGTAAGGAGTGTTCCGACTTTATTAGACTCGTTAAAAGATTTCTAGGAAACTTTCATATGATGTTAGAGAAATCAAAGCAAAAATAAAATAAAATAAAATCCATTTAGAGAAGGGTCAAATTGGATTTGATCCATGCGAATCCCAAATCATCTTAAGATTTGTTTAACGGTGAAGGAGGTTTTCAAATGGATTGAAATGATGAGCTATTACTTGGTTGATTGAGTTAACCAAGGAAAGGTAGAATTTGTGTCCTATGTAATGGTTGAAACTATTGATTGATTTTGGCTTAAACAAATATGCTAAAAGAATCTAGTATTTGGTTCTAAGGATTGTTGCTTCTCTCTTATATTATTTGTAAATATCTATGTGAGTCTAAGAAGGTACAAAATAAAGAGAGCCGAGATAGGTGAAGATTCAAGATGGGTTTGGTTCAACTTGAATCAAAGCAACCTTATGGTTTGTCTAAGCCTCTAAGGGTAAACTAACTTCAAGAATGCTCTAGGATTCATGAAATGAAATATTTAAAGCATTAAGAAGCTTCAAAACAACATCAATGGTTAGATAGAAAATTCCTAAGAATGTTCCTATTTTTTGAATGTTTTGGATTCATCAAAGATGGCATAACACGCATAACACACCTATAACTCAGGAAATCAAATGAGATCATTTTTGGTATTATCTATTGATTTTAAAAAGCTTATAGAAATTTGGTTTAACATTTTTGAGAATATTATAAATCTAGAGCAATTGATGTCTATTTATTGCTCTATATTTTTGAAAACTATCAAACATGAATTTAATTAATTTCAACCATCTCGTGCTGTGAAATATTGACTTTTGAAGGTCTAGAAAAGATCCCAACATGGTTTTATTATTTTCCAAATTAATTATATTCATTTCATACTCTCCAAAAGCTTAAGAAGAATTAAATACTATATAGCAAATGGAAGTTGCTAATATTTTAGTTTGTTTTGTCATAACTTAGATTTTGGTAGGAATGAAAATAATTTGTATTGATGCAAACAAGTGCATAGTCATGATTGAGGTTAAATGACCATAAGAACTTAGGTTTTGATGTATGTGAATTGATAGGTCCAAATATTAAATAATTTCATGCATGAGGGAGGTATCAGACCCAAATTTGATAACCCGAATCTTGATCGTATTCTCTTATGGATTCTTAAGTGTGAGAACCATCAATTAAAAAAATCACCATATTTCATTGTATTAATTGAGAGGAAAACAAGAGTATAGGTTGAAAATAATTCTCCTGCCCGAGAGAAAGAAAAATGAAAGCCCTCTTTTTGACTCTAGCCTGATTGGTGAAGCCTGTGGCTTCAAGTAGTTGAGATCCACCTCAAATGCTAGCATGCCTGCGATTAATTCTAGGTTTATATGAAAAATGTTTAGCTCTGGAATGCCTTTCACTGGAAGTCTCTGGAAGTTTTTGAAAACCAATTTGAGTGTGAGGTGGATCGGATATGCCAGTTTGAGCTCAATTTGGTTTGGTTTGGCACAGCATGATTTAATTTATGTTCTATTTGACTTGATTCAACTCAATTAATGGATTTACGGCCAAATCAAATCAATAACATTAATTAAATTGAATTGATTGATACAATTTAGTCAAATTGAGTTGTGTGAGTTGAAAATTAAGTTCAATTTCACAAATTTGGATTGATTCGATCCAAAAATTGAGTAACACTTATTCTATCTCAAATCTCCTCAAATAATATGGCAGTTTTCCATTAATAGAAATTGAACATTTCAAAATTTGGTTAAAAATAATATTTTGAATGGGACAAAATGGTGGAAGAAGTATATTTTCACTTTCTTTTTACAATTAAGCTGACTTATTTCCATCTGAAGTAAATTGGCCAAAATCGTTAAACTGACCCGACAATTCATTTCATTCAAAATAAACTTTTACCTAATGGGTCAACAAATGGGTTGATTCACTTGGATCAATCCGATAACAAGCATTTAATATTATAATTTTACCCTTAAAAGTACTATATATCGATTTAAATTTAATCAGATTTTTGTTTGCTTGGCACATCAATATTTGCAAAAATTTCCTTAAATCCCTTTGCATTAAACTTTGTTCAACCTTCTAGGCATGATTGGATTTCTAACTGAAATGCTTGCACGTGATTAGAACAATTATCATCATCAAAATCAATATTTATTCAACACATCTCTTCATTCCTTTTTGTGTGGGTGAATGCCATGATCCTAACCATGGTACTATTTTCTATGAATTCACCCACTGATTTGAGCTTTTTATTGACAACGGTAGATGCTCTTTTCATTATTTGCAGTTGAAGAAGAGAAGCAATTCCAAACTAGTGACTACCGAACCTTCCAAGGCTTCTGAGGAAGCAGGCGAAGGAATGGATGTTGAAAATGACCTAAATGAAAAGACCATAAAAGTCTCAAAGATGGCGATGAAGCAGCAAAATAATGAAGCTTCTAAAAGCAGCACCCTAAGTGATGGGAAAGTTACTATCCAAAAGAAATTTGTTAATGTAAAACAACACAAATTTAAATCTGTCCAGAAGAATATTAGGAAGCGAAATTCAAGACCGGCAGGCAGCAATCAAAGTAATGGAAAAGAATATGACAAAAGAAGCTTGGGCAATGCCAAAAAGAAGCGTAAATTCCCATCAAGAGAAGAAATTTCTCAGGCTAGGTGAGGTTTCATGCCTTTCCAAATTCTGCGTTATTTATTCCATTTAAGGCTTCCTTTGGGACGGCTTTCTTACTACTTCTTAAAGCGACTTTTTAGTGCAAAGATTAAAATTTTTATACTAAAAAGCCGTTTTAGGAAAGCAGAAAGAAAGTGGTCCCAAACGAAACCTAAGGCTTCATTTGGGATGACTTTTTTACTGCTTCGTGAAGCAGTTTTTTAGCATAAAAATTAAAATTTTTATACTAGAAAGCTGCTTTAAGAAACAGAAAAAAAAACCGTCCAAACGAAACCTAAGACTTTGTTTGGAACAGTTTTTTTCCTGTTTCTAAAAGCAGCTTTTTAGTATTTTTTATACTAAAAAGTTATTTTAAGAAGCAGTACAAAAGTCGTCCCAAATGAAACTTAAAATGATTTGCTAGACTTCTACAGCTCACAATATTTTGTTGTACATATTACTTTGATTGTTTTAATTTGTCCCTAATAATTTTCAGATGAATTCTTCCCTATATGCTTTCTCTCTTTAAACTTTTACTTTCCTTTATTCTAATTCATGTTAATTTTCATATTGGAATTTTGCAGGGAAGAGAAGAGAAAAGCTCTGAAGAAGCAAAAAGTTTAAACAACAATAGAATTAAGTTCAATTTTGAAGGCTTAAATAGATCTTGAACCATGACCCTTCAGACGCAAAATTTTGTGCTGTAATAATGATTTTTGGAATCAAAATTTGTGCCTCATGAGGCTTAAGTTAATTTATTAGCTCTCCTGACGTGTTATTTTTATTTTTATTTTATATTTGATGGCTAAAAAATATTTTATGTAAACATGTGGTCTGCCTCATTAGGCATCCATTTGGAATTTAATTAGTGAGTGGCTAATCATCATTGTAATTTCTTTTATTTCTAGACTTTTTGTAGTTTAATAATTATATAAATGTTTTTACATATTCAGGCTTTAATTTGCGTTGTGCTTGATTCTTCATGATTTATGATTTGTATTTGTAAGAATCAGATTTCATTTGGGATGATTTTTTTACTGTTTTTAAAAATAATTTTTGTGAAAAATTAAAAATTTTGTACTAAAAAATTGCTTTAAATAGTAACAACTATGAATTAATGAAAATCTGTTTGATAAAAAATTATATTAAAAAAAAAAACTTGCAAGATTCTATTCAATTGCCTTAAGGAAAAGAGTCAAAAGACCACCAGCTCGGTTTTTATTTGTAAACATAATTTGGGTAAGTATTTTTTTTTAAAGGTAAGTGAAGTATAAATTTTAAATAAATAGTTATAATTTTTATTAATCTTAAAGTAATTAAATAAGTGAGCAAAGTCTGATACTGAGTCAAATGGATATGTTCTTCTGCTCTTTCTTAAAAAGATATGGGTGGAAATTTAAATGTCTATTAGACATAATTGCGAAAATACCTGCCTTGTAAGAAGTTTTAAGACCGCATGAGCTAAGTTAGAGTTTTTTTTACTGTCTGGAGGAAGTTTTCCATAATAGATTGCAACCAAAGAATATACCATCATTAATAAAAAAAAAAGAATTTATATACAAATAATTTTATGTCATGCTATTTTTATATCTACTATTTAAAATTTTAATATTTTATGTCTATAATTTAATTTTTATACCTAGTTTTAATATTAAATATGTCATTCATATATTTTATTTTTATCACTCATATTATTATAAGTTTTAATATTTCATGCATATCTGAGTCAAATGACCTTGGCATTTAGAATTACTATATGTATTATTTAGGAGAGTATCGAAGTCCATAAGCATACTTATAGTCATCATGGAAATTGTTGCATCCTGGAGTATTTGCGGTGGTAGAGAAATATATAGTTTAACTTCTTAGCATTGTATGAAGATCCAACACACATGCATATATGATAGAGTGTGTAGCGTTCATAAGAGACACTAGTGTTTTTACGTGGAAACCCCTAAAAAGGGGGAAAAATCATTGGGCATGACCTACTTTGAATGAATCCACTAGAATTTGCAGGCGATTACAAATGAGGCCCTTCCTTGGGAGAAGGCCTTGACTTGATGTCACAAATGTACATAATATAAAGCGTATTACATGGTGGTAGTTACAATAATCAACATAGACATGTTTGTTTGGCCGGTATGACCATAATCGATAGAATAGAGGTCAGAAAGATCATAATAGACGACAGAGGTCGAAAGGACCGTCGTCGGTAGAAGACATGGGTCTGATCGACCATAGTAGTTGAGAAGTACTCCTGTAAAAGTCTGGGCATCATGTGGTGGTCCGGCAGAAGTTGTGGTACGGGAGAAGTCTGGGCCTCAGGTGGTGGTCCGGCAAAAGTCCGAGTGTTAGGTAGTGGTCCGGCAGAAGTCCGGGCCTCAAGTGGTAGTCTGGTAGAAGTCCGAGCCTCATGTAATGGCCGGCGGATGTCCGGCGAAACTCAGGCCCTTAGGTGGTGGTTCGGCGGAGGTGAATGCCTCAAGTGGTGGTCCGACGGAGCTTAGTCTCTTAGGTGGTGGTCCAGCGAAACTCCAACTTCAGGCGGTGGTTCGACGAAGCTCAGGCCCTCAGGTAGTGGTCCGGCGAAGGTGAGGGCCTCAAGTGGTGGTCTAGCAGAGCTTAAACCCTCTCAGGTGGTGGTCCGGCGGAACTCCGACATCAGGCGGTGGTTCGGCGGAGCTCAGGGCCTAATGTGGTGGCCAAACGGAGCAAAACATCAGGCGGTGGTCCGACGGAGGTGAGGGCCTCAAGTGGTGGTATGGTGGAGCAACAATGTTAGGCGGTGATCCGACAGAGGTGAGGGCCTCAAGTGGTAGTCCGGTAGAGCTCAGGGCCTCAAGTGGTGGTCCGGGGAAGCTCAGGGCCTCAAGTGGTGGTCCAGCAAAGAACCGACGTCAGACGTTGGTCCGGCGGAGGTGAGGGCCTCATGTGGTGGTCCGAAGGAGCAACGACGTCAGGCAGTGGTTCGACGGAACTCAGGTAGTGGCCGAGGAGGAGTGAGGAGGCAAAAGCAATCTCCGATCTCTTTCTTGCTCTCTTGCTTGGAGACATCTTTCAAGAGAAAGGAGATGTCTATTTATAGATTTCTGGAGTGGCATGACCCGTAAATAGGTGAGAGATTAAGGGTAAATGGGGAGTGGTTGGATGGATAGCAGATGTTGAATCCCTTGATCAAGGACCGTTTGATGGACATTTGAATGCCTTAGTGATGTTGGAATTTGGTGATCTTGGGCTTGTTGGATTGGTCTCGTTGAGCCGCTCGATTCGACTATAAGCATGTCATATTTGAAAACCGTTTGGTAATCCAAATTATGGTTCAAACCTTCCAACAACGCTTTTAATCCTTGACTTTGACCCATTTAGACTTGGATTGAATCGATTTTGGTGTCGTTGGGTTCGTATTTCATAATATATCAATTTGACCCATCCTCAATTTGACTGTAAGTTTGCTGAAATTGAAGTTAGGATGGTCCCAATTTTAATTTCGGAAGTTTCTAACTTGATTTTGCTTATAATTTTTTCATAATATATCAGAAATGATCATGCCCTTATATAAATTATTAAAGCATCATGATGGGGAAAATTATTTTGTGAGGAGTCCGGATGAGAAGAATCATCCGGATTACTGCATATTTACTAAGTATTCGCTGAATTTGTAAATACTCATCAAATACTCAATAAATATACAGTAAATCCTCAAATACTTACAACATATTCAGCGAATTTTCACAAAATACTTAAAAAATATTCAATAATAACAACAACTAAATATTTACTGAGCATTTATAAATATATAGCAAATACTCGCTAAATAACATATCTCGACGTCGGTCTGGGGCTCCGCACAGGCTCGGAGAGTCATGCCAGGCGAACAATTAGTTTTTCCTGGTTCTAGCGTAGTATTGGCGGCTTATTTGTGTTACTTTCTATTAGGATCTTGGAAGATGTTCTTGAGAGAGAGAGGGAAGGAGAGGGAGACAGCAATTTGGGAGGAAATACAAATTAAGTTTTTCAGATTTTTCCCCAAATCTTACATCAACCCAAGGCCTCTATTTATAGAGCATTACCAAGGTGTAATAACATGCATGAGCAACATATCCTAAAACTAAAACAACTCATAACAATCTCCACCTTGATTTAGTTTTACAAAAAACAAAGAACCACTCGTCACAAGAACTCGAACTTATTGCAATCCAACCGTTCGCCCTGGACACCAGTGCGCGCTCCTACCTGCGACTTCGCACGATCCACCTGTCCAATCCCAAGTTCGCGACCATCTTGCCTCCACGAGGTTCTTGATGCTTCAACATGCTCCTATAATTCTCCACCTTGATCGAATTCAAGATTAAGAGTCTCTTTCCGCCTCTACAACTGTATTCCCGACTCCACCTGAATCTAAGACTCTACCTCAAAAGAAGATATGATCTCTTCTTTATTACCGCAAAAGGTAAACCAACTCAAGCATTCAGATCCACTTGAATCCACCTAGTACCCGTGCCGGCGAGCTTGCATCAACGTCATCTGGCCGCAAGAAATCCTTGAATTCACGTCTGCTTCTCAACATAATGGATGACTACGTATCGATGTCACCATGACATCATCTTCTTGCATAGGACAAATCCCACACAAACAAGCCGCTCAGGACTAGGTGGAAATGAGGTATGCATCCCTAAATTACTCGTGTTTCTGGCATCAATGGCAAACAATGCTTGTTATATAAATCATGTGATCAAAGTCGTGGTAATCTCAAAAGGATGATTGATCTTATACAAATTGCTTAGAATCTATGTGAAAAATAGTAATAATATTTAAGATGGGGGTGCGAGCGCGTAATCAGTTAAATCAATGATTACAGACCAGATCTACTAAACATGTAAGAAAGATGATTGCAGAGAGTGCAAGCATTGCCTCCAATAGCAGTTATAGCAGCGATAGAGCATGGAGTCAAAGGCAGTCTAGAGCTTATTCTCTAGCCATTTCTCAATTGATGGATATTTTCCTTATTCAACGGCTTAAGCACGAAGCTTACTGAATTACTAAGAACTTACTGGTGAAAAGGAATTATGGGGACCTTACCATTATTAGGCCTTGACATAACATAACGTATGAGTTTGGGCATAAAAAATTTTGCGCCTTGTCCTCCCCTTTTTTAGGAGAGTTTTAATGAGTTAAACTCTGTTGTAAATTTTTAGAAAGCAAATTGAGTTTGAAATAAGACACTGCCTAGAGATTTCGCCCTCATTTTGCGAACACTTTATGATATGAGTTTTGGTTTCCTATAGATGCAAGCCCCTATAGTTAATTACCCCTCCCGATAACGAGAGAGAACTTTCGATTAAGGCTAGTCGTCAATCAAATATGTAATATATATCTAGCATATAGTATCAACGTGAGTTTGGGTGTTTGAAAATTTAACATTTAAAATTAGAAATGCACCATCTTGCACTTAAAGAGGATGGTTGGGGGAATAATGATGAACCTGGTCACGATCTTATGGTTTTTTTGTCCCGAGCAATCATGGTTCTTGGTCTACTTACTCAAAGGAGGTAGTCGACCCAACTTGATAGAAGGATCATTGTCAGCACCCATGGGTTGCTTTGTCGAATAGTACCTTGTAGATCTATAGTGAATATTTATCTAAGAGGATAAATTTGAATCCACTTTAGCAAACATAATGTTTTATGCTCAATCGATTATATCCGATTGATCATATCTCAAAGAGCATATGGGCTATGACAGTAATTGTAATACAATGAAGTAATTGGACCAAGCCACTTAGTTAGAGGGTCACGGTCATAATCATTAGCCACACTGAGCAGTCTAGCCAAACCACGAGTTCATTGCGGAGCCATCCAACCAAATCGCTGATTAGAGGGTTAATGTTATGCCTTTACTGCCAGGAGACTATTTGAGAATGAATCTTAGTGATATTCTCGATTATACATTAGTTCTTTG